GACATAAGGCGGTGGGGGAGGGGCGGAGGAAGGATATTTGGGTTAGAAACTGAATGTTAAGTAGTACCAGCTAGCCACAAACAGTAAATGGTTAGGATCAACCTAAGCTATCTTATTTTCTAGATAGGACTGGTCTGAACTATCAACAGCCATAAAGGCAAAGCATGGGTATCTGTTGCAGAGGCACAGTGAAAGCTCTAAGGCTTGGATGAGTGTTGTGATTAGAACAGTGAAGCAAGAAGGTAATTTAGATGACAGTTTAAAAGGATCTGAGCACTCAAAAAATTTAAATAGTATGCAAAAGGTGGTGTGAGTGTGAAACAAGTTTTAACTCTGTTGAGAGTAAAATTGGATCTTACACCTATTTGCGTAGGATGAGCTTGGTGGTAACTCTAGAAAGATGGTCAAGCTGAAGGCCAAGGTCACTCAGAGGCTTCCCGCAAATATAGAGAAGAAGAGGTGAAGAGTTGATGGCTGGAGTGTTGACAAAAATGTGAGGTGTCATACAGGCTTACTGCTTTGATACTGAGAATCTTCATGTCCTTCATCTGTTCTGGCTCTCTTTGGCACCCAAAGATAAGAGTGTAATGGAAGAGAAAAGGGAGGGGAACTGACATTTTTAGGGAGAGAAAATTTAAGGCCCCAAGAACACCAAGCTGTATGCTCAAAGAATGATATAAATGTACTTTAAAAGAAATCACATCTTTCCTATTTTATAGTGTAAGAGCTCATTAAAGTTCAAGTGGTAGAAGAGAAGAATAGGAAGTTTCTGGAGCTCCTCTTCGAAAGGACCTGTCAGTCCAATGTGGCAGTCAGCCTTTTCATACAAGTGGGAAACCTGACAATGCTGCTCACTGGAGAGCAATGTTGAAGGTAAAGAGGAGTGAGAGGAGAGAAATAGTAAAAATATAGGGAGGCCCTGCATTCTGAGGTAAAATGAAAACCATAAAGCTGATTCAATTTTAGCAATGTCCTTAAACACCCTTTAACAAAGAAACCATGTCAAAACTTTAAAGGCTTTTTAATCTCCAGCAGCTTAGGATCTTTACTGGCTCCACAAAGCAAAACACAGGAAAAGGGTAGAGGGGGAAAAAAGAGGAAATAGCTACCAGTCAATATGTGTTACATGTTTTAAAGAATTGTTAAAAAAAACTTAGCTATGAAAATGGATGTGGGATTTGTAATCAGCAGGATCAAGCAGAAATCTTCACAGGTAGGCTTGTTGCAAGGTGAATACTTTGAATAATGTGAAGCCATCTAACTTGTCTTAAAAAAGTTCTCTGGCCATGAGGTTGTATGGCTTGGCAATGTTAATTTTTAAAGCATCTTGTAGCATGCTGAAGAAATTTGAAGAAGCTGGAGGAATGCTAATGTAGTAGCAGTATTTAGAAAGGTAAATACAAATCATTGAGGATATATTTACACATGGGACAAAGCTAGGAGGAATTGCGAATAATAACAATGGCAGTTACATAGGAGTTGTGGCCATGTGCTAAGCTGCACCTTTTCAAACAAAATAAGCTTCGTTGTCTTGAATAAATTTACAGATTTTGGAGGAAAAATGTAGCCCATAGCTATAGAAGGGACGTCTACACCCTTAAACACAGTGACTCGGCAGAGTCTGTTAGTCACAGTGGACAATCAGCTCATCATAAAATGTTAATTTAAAGCCATGGCAAAAAAAATGCCAGCCTTGGATGTGCAAATGGGATTGATGAGTGGGAGTAACTGATGGAATTAACACCCAACGTGGCACTCGGGGGGGCCACAACAAAAAAAATCACAAATTCAGATCTGATGTATGCTCTTCAGAAAGAACTCTGCAAAATTGTAATAGGTTTATAAAGCAGGTGCATGATTCCAAAACTGCAAAACCCCTTACAGTAAGAGATCTAGTGTTAAACTTATAAAGGAGACCATTTAAATACACACAGCACTTTTCTTTACAGAAACTGGATAGGAGAGATACCGTAATTACTAGCAAGGCATATTACACGGGTCATGCCTGAAAATAAAGCCTAGCAAAGTGAAGGTACATGCATTAATCAGCGAGTATGTTAATTAGCAGCCAACTGATTTTCCATTACCTTTATCATCTGCTGATGTCTTCAGACAAAGATTCTTTGGAAGATACAGTTTTGGCCCAACATGAGATGGGTATTAATCAAAAGCAGATTATTAAGGTTAATAGAGAGATAACTAGATACAGTTCTGTGGCCTCTGCCATGTGCAGGAGATACTATAATTTCTGAAGTTAGCAGAACTTTTTGTCACTGACATACAGGATAAAATCATTGTACTGTTGAAACTAGAGCAGTGGCGCTATATTTCAAAGACTTAGGTTTTGAGCATATATTGATTTTAATCATGAAAATATGCTAGATGATCACTAGTTGTCTGTTTTTTGCAGTTACACAGAGTTGCCTTTTCCTGACTAAAGTATTGGTTTACTTTATAAAAATAGATAATTGGAAACATCAGAAATGTAAAGTATCTTTGAACGTGTTTTTAGAGAGCGTTCACTTAATCCCGTAGAATTTAGCAGGTGTTTTCCTATTTAAGTACCTGCTTTGTTTTTAGTGTTCAAAACCCGATCTTATTCTTGAGAGTGCGATGCAGTGTTGACAGTGAGAAAACACTGGCTCGGGAAGGAAGTAGTGAAATTTAAAGAAAGATCTAACACACAGTTTCATTTATGATAATGTCAAATGAAATTATTTGTATACTGCAATTTCCAGTGTAGACTCTACTGTGTGTGACTGAAGCATTTAGTATTTTTTTACTTTTTCTATGTGCTCTGAGAAACGATTCAACAGAAAAACCTCTGCTTTCTGTGGGGAGGTGTGCAGTGGGTTGGTCATATTCCTAATATTAAAGAACAGATTAATATGCCATTCTACTGCTGTTTTACTAATGTTAAGTGGTTGATTGAGGTACATGAGGCCTTCTAACACGGTGTATGTAGTTTGATAATCTGGGTTGCTTTAATATTATTACTTTGATAAGAAATTATGATGAATTAAAAGGATTTAAATCTATGTAGTTTTAAGGAATTTGGTCTCTTTATAAAGTGGAATTGTGGTATTACTGTCTAATCTCTCAGATCTTTATCATTGTGACACATATGTCTGCAAATGAGTTGTAATTAATTAGTTTTTACCTGACACTCCTACGGTTCTCATGTCATGTCATGTAAACGTGAGCGTCAGCATCGTGGCCGGGGTGAGCAGGATTGGGCTGGAGTACGAATGACTCACTTTCTCAGGTTAACGTTCTCCTTCTCGGAGTTTATCATACTTTATTACTATGGGCTAATTTAGATCCTTAAATTAGCAGCTGCCTTAGGGAGAAATTTCCAGATGATCACTTTTATCATTTCAGTGTTTTCAGTTGTGTGTCATTTTACTCTCTAGGGAAGTTGTTCTCTGAGAGTTGCTGGCAGGGGCTGAGGACGGGATGGGTGGGGAAGCGGGCCAGTGCTCTGTTAGGTTGCTGCTTTTCAAGCAGAAGGAATTGAACTGGTTGAGGCAGTAATAAAGTTGTGAGAAGGATTTTATCCAGTGAAGATGGCTTTTCATTGTCCACGTTTCATTGTTGTTGCATTTTTAATTAAGTAAAAAATGATGTCTTTCATTTATTATTGAAACAGTACTGCTTAGCTTGATGGAACAGAATTAAGTTCAGTTGTTCACTGCGCAGACACTAATTAATTTAAAATTAGAAAGCAATATTGTACTGGACTTTGTCTTGTATAGTACTGTATATAGGAGATACAGCGTGTCAAGCAAGCACAATATATTAACAACTTCTGATCGTATTATTGTGGTGCTGAGTTAGGACTTGGTGGTTCAGTTTTCTCCCCAAAGCTTTTGGCCCTGAAGGAACAGAACTCTCTTACTAAGACTGTGGGGTCAGCGGTATCTAATCCACTCTAGAGGGACTTTTGTGGTGTTGTTATTTAGCAGGGCTGTGGGCCATGTTCGTGAGTGCCAGTGGGAGTAGGATGGACAAAGGAGGAAAGGAAAGGGTGCAGGGAGCCTTGTAAAGTGTGGTTGGAATTGACCCTTATTTCTGTTTAATATTAATATTCTGAAAACAGCCACAGGCCCCATTTGAGACTCTGGGCTTAGCTTCGCTGGACACTTTAATGTTTGCAATCATCCTCATTTCTTACACCTCCTTTAGAATTTATGAAATGTACAGCTGATGTTTAAATAAAAAATAAAAAAATTGAAAGGCAAAAGTTATGTGGGTAAAGGTTAGATTTTCAGTGAAGAATGTCGTGTATAGCTAGATGTGTCAGCATGGTTTGCAGTGAATGCTGTGTCACGTTGGTAACTTTTTCTTGCTGTCGATGGGATAGGAATATAGTGTTCCTTTAATATTTTCTTAAGCAGTCATATCTGAATGTGTTGCCTCATGAGTGATATTCGAAGAGTAGCCTATGAAAGTGAATAGCAGACCAGATTACAATGAGTTCTATTAAAAGTAACACCTTTAAAAAAGAGTAATAAAAGTAACATTCTTGGGCATTATGTGTGTGTTAGAGATCTCCTGCTTATTCTCACATATCTATTTTTCATTGTTTCATGTTTGATAGGATTGTGCTTATGGTACTTGAGAGCAATCATTTCCTCGAATGTGTATTAAATTATTTTTAGAGACTTTAGAGATATGCAAATGTGTACAGCCTAAACTATTCTGTTATCTGACGTGATGCATTTGTCTAAAAATAACCACCCAAAATCTAGCATTTCAAGCACATAAAACACATGATGAAAAGGGAACTGGGAATACGTTGCGTTTTGAAGATAGCCTGGTGGGGGGAAATTGTGCAATAGTACCTTTTGGGGGGATTGCTTGTCCTTCAAAATATCCTGTGAAGATGGGACAGTAAGGTTTCTTCTTGTATATATTTCAGGACATTGTTTCCAAGCAGCCATCTTTGGCTCACGAGAAGAGTCTTTTAGTATCCTTCTGACTTGTGCTCTCTTTTCTAGCTGACAGTCACAGCTCTCCCAGAGAAGACACCCCAACTGGGAGCATGGATTCTCTTTCTTCCCAGTCTCCGACACCTGCCTTCTCTAGTAGCCCCCCCGGGCTCCTGGATGGAAATCACCTTATTATGGACAGCGGAGATCTTGCAGGCTGGACAACTAATCTGTAAGTTACCTGGATATTAAGTAATGATTATTTCACTAGTATGATTGTGCACACGAAACTCATTTCCCTTTTCAGTTTGGTGGCGAGTAATTTTTAGAAATTACATATAATTGTTTTTGTTTTCTTCTGCTATAAAAAAGTATGTGTTTATGTGTTGTGGTGGAGCTCAGAGGCTACTTTAATGTTTGTAGGAAAGAAATGCTCTTCTACAGAGATCTAGTGCATTTTACTGTAACCTGCTACAAAATTATATATATCGTTCAGGCAATGAATATGTAAGTTATTCTCTGTATTATGTATTACCCTAGTTTTGTTTCAAGACAGTGTTAAGCTACACTTAGATGTAGGGCTATTAAGATTTAAGGCCAAATTTTGTGTTTGTTTAAATACACTGTAATGAGTGTGTGCTCAGATGCTGTTTTCTAAGGACATTATGTTGTTAACTTCTTATTAACAAATTAATACCTGTTTTTCAATGCAGTGCAGTCTCTCACTTTCGGTAGACTCTGTAGATGTTTAGTTTTTGAGCATGACTTCAGTTTGGCAATAATTGACATTGCAGTGTTAGCCCTATCTCTGTGGAACGTATTCAGATTTAATACACAAAAAGCTGAACATAACTTGTTTTTTAAATTAGAAGTTGAACTTGAATTCTCTGGTTTGCTATTCATGCAAACTTTAACATATCAAGACGAAGTTTTCCAGCCTTCAGTGCCAAGAAGATGGAAGGAGCAGGTCTGAAGAAAAGATTTGTTACAAATATTTTCCATAATGGCATTCTGAATAGCCGTTCTGTTGATGAAGCAAATGTGTAAAATATATGTGTAGGTGTATGTAACACATGAGAATATATAGATAGATATGCAGTGGGTTTATATTTCTATATGCACACACAAATAATTAACTGCTGATTAGAGTACTTGTTAGCTAGAACAATCTTTTCTCACATGTATTGAGTTCCAGATTTATACATATTTTACATAAATGTCATTTCTGCAGTAGAGTATTGAAGTTAGTCTTTCTTTATCCTCTTGTACTGTCCACAAGTAGTGGGTAGGATTAACAATAAGTTGTATTTGATGAAAAGAGGTACATGTGTGGAAAACATGCTGTAGGTGGTATAAAACTAGAATGTCTATGAAAGCAAGCATAGCTATTAAGGAAGACAGAGTTAGCAGAACATTGATGTCACTTCAGAGAATGAAAGAAGGAAATGTTGGTTTTATCCAGAGGGTTCAGGAATTTAAGGTGTCTGAAGAAATGTTGCATTTTTTGCATTTGTTAATTTTCATTGAAAACTATACTGTGCTGCTGTTTTGGAAATGTTTGACTTGAGGTTTTGTACTCAGTTGGAAAAAGTACTTAAACAGTTCTGTTTGGAAGGAGCAAAAAAAAGTGCATGGTATGTACATCTATTTGTCAAAAGCAGTTTCCTTCTTCTGCTCACCTGTCTGTGAAGTTTGCTTCAGAGCTACCTCTGTAACAAGCCTGGACACTGACAGAGAGTAGTCTGTGAACGGTACATTCCTTCTTTCCTCTACTTTCTCACCCCGCATTGGCTTTTCTTCCCTTTCTAGTTCTGATGATTCAGAGGGCCTTGCCTTGACAAAAAAACCCCAAAACAAAAACAAAACACCAAAAAACCAAAACACCACAACAGAACACAAACTGCAAAGCAAAACCCAAACCAGCCCCACTATATTAATAGCAGAGGTAGATGTCAGCAATGAAGAATGTACTTGGTGGACTTCAGCAGTCACTGTGCATCATGGGGTCCTGTGGGCAGGGAGGGGCGGTGGTTGACGTGCCATTGTGTCACTGTGGTAGCTCTCACAGCTTCAGGAAATGTGGCGTTGGCTCTTGAACTCTGCTTTGGTTGTAGACTGTTCTCATAAATTGGGCTGTCTCAGAATTACGTGGAGAACAATTCTTTCTGCTTGTGCAGGATTTCAAAATGTTTTGCATTCTGTGCCAAATTGGAACAAAAACAATTCTTAGTCTCGGTATCCTCACTAAAATGGTATTGCAGGTCTTCACTGAGCTACAGTAAATACCGTACTGAGTCTAGGGGAGATGGAAATACAAGAAGTTCTGGTTTCTCAAGTTTCTGCTGATGTTTATAACACATAGGTCTTGTAAGAGATCAATTGCTATGGCGTTATGTAGCCAACAAGGTGATGATGACTTCTTTGTGGTAGAATAGTTGCTTGCATCGTTTTCCAGGGCAGGGATGTTGCACTGTGGGTCAAGATATGTCAGATATTCCAAGGTTGGTTTATATCAGTAGTGTGCTTTAAGCAAGAACATGTGATGGATAGCAAGAATATTTTCGTAGTACTTGTTTTCAAGAAAGCAAAAGCTTGTTTTTTCCTGAATGTTAGCCTTTGTCACCATGACGGTTCCTGGCAGCGTTCTTTGTGATGCATGCCCTTTCTTTGTCCCACCTTTAAAAACAAGAGGAGCTATAGCTTCTAGCATGGTGAGAGGAGCACCAAATGAAGCCAAATATACCCTCACCACTTGGCTGACACTAGGAGGGGACTGTATGGCCAGAGTGGTGGGAGAAGCTAAGAGAGCAAGGGCTATACCACCGATTTGAAATGTCTCACAAAGCCCTGACTGCTCAATTGTCATGTCAGTATTTAAAGATGTACTATGCATACGGTGTATCTGGGAAGTGATGTTTCACATATGTGCCATTTTGAAGCCCTGCTAAGCTGTTGGTTTTCATGTCTATAAGTGTGTGTCTGCCTGATGCTAGATTTTCTTTGAAAGCTCTGTGTGGATCAGACATATGCCCTGTGTTGTCATGTACTGCTGTACGGGTGAGTAGAGTTGGGTGATGGTTGGATCTTACTGCCCACGGCAGGGGTGGTTCTCAGTGGAGACCCAAGTTTGCTGTTCTAAGATTATCTTGCATCCTAAACTTCTTTCAACCTTTTTCCTGAAGATATTTTTAACTTCACACTTCCATCTAGAGCCAAATACTAAAAATAAATACATTTTATTTTTATATACACTCTATGGTAGAACATAGAGAGCTTTATTCCCCTGCCAATCACAAAGTTAAAGAGTAATTTATGTAGACACAGGATTCAAACTCCAAATAGCCCAAGATGGGCAAATTACCTTTTCTACTTGATGGAGCACTGTGTCATAAACATGTATTGTTTGAAAATCCCTTCTATCCGAGGATGTTTAGCACAAGCTAATCTCAGGCGTAAACTGATAATTATGGTAGTTAGCTGGATAGAGTATTCCTCCCTGTAGTCTCCACTGGTATGGGCATTTTTTTGCCTTTAAGGCAGAGCAGCAATGGCAATCTGAGTTTAATGTTAACCCAAGCATTTTCATTCTTTCTTTTTCCTCTTTTGCTCTCAAGCTGCAGAATTAACATCATACAGCCATCTGTTTTTCTCAGGTTCCACTGGAATCACTGTCCAAGTCCACTTTGCTCTGACAGAGCTCCAGGTGGTTACTGTTTCTGTAAGGAGAGCAAGTTTCATACTGTTTTGGGACTAATGTTGGTATAGCTTCACCAGCAATACATTCTCAAAATTCTCATTATTTCCCTCAAAGCCACAGTTGGTTCTGGGGGGAAAAAAAGAAGAGTTTCTGTGTTAGATGCATGGAGTTCCTTGCACGTTCCCTCTAATTCAGATTGCCACCATAGCCAACGTTCTAAAGGTAAGCTAGTGTCTTCTAGATGAAATGCAGTTATCCATTTAGGCATGCTTTAGCTGCTTTCTTTGATGTTTCATCTGCCAAGACACTGGAAAATGGGCAATATTCCCTGTTTCAACAATTTGACAATATAAAAGTTTGTAAAGTAGAATGTACAAATATAGTGATGCTTGCCATGTGCCTTGGGTTTAACAAGTAGGTCATGTATTGTAACATTTTATTCCCTCCATACAGAATAGATATATTTTGTGAGTTGCCTACGACATTATTCTGACCTGGATTTAAACAAAAAAACCCCAACCCTAATAAGCAAACTTCCAACCATCTTTTATCCATAGCCATCATTTTCCCCCGAACTGTTGTCTACCCTACAGTTGCAAATTACCCAGGGAGTTTAAACCCCACAATCCATACTTTTCTACCTTTCTTTAGAGTTGCTTCAAACACTGGGTCATCTAAGGAAGGGTTATTGCTAATCTCTCATGATGAGTGAATTTGCGTTTTCTTCCTCTCTCTTTCTTTCCTAGTAATATTTTTGCTATTTCTTCTGTTCTGGAAGCTGCTGCAGGTTGCTGCTCCCTGCAGATTCTGTGGCAACAGGCAGTCAGTTGGCAGTGTTGGTAAGGAAAAGTATTCATGTAAATGTGTCACCAGAAGCACCAGGAATCTGCTGGCAATAGATGAGGGGAAGACACAGAGTAGGAAGGGGAAGGGTGAATGAAGAAAAAACACTGTGCTGGAAATTCAGAAAATAAAATGAGTTGACATACAAAATTGAGCCATCAAACCAAGAGCGAGGGGAGGAGGAGGACGACAAAAATACAAACATGTTGTGGCCAGTAGCCCATAGTAAGAGGGCGTTGGAATTTATTCCCAAATTTCACGGAAGACAAAAAAAAAAAAGGCAGTAGGAGGTATGACAGGGCTTAACAAGAATAAAAGGTCGGGAATTACTTAGGATTTGCCTATAAAGGAAAGTGGATGTTCAGTAAGCTATAATGTGAGTTTATAGCACATAGGACACTGTACACTCCTTGTATGAGTACTTAGAACTGTGTCTGCTTTAAAAGCGGAGGAAGCCTGAACTTTTGTGTAAGGATGCACTTAATGCAATGTGGGCTTTATCGTGGTGTTGCAAATTGTTTGGCAATTTTTGCTTAAGGTATTGATGTTGCTGCTTGATCCTCTTTCTCACTTCACCAGTTAGTGTATGTGGATCTGGTTTGTGGAGTTGTGGTATGTATTTCGCACACTTTTTTGGTGAAGACTGTAAACCAGTGTAATTAGTTCCCTTTATATACAGGTCACAGTTGAGC